GGTGTTGTTGTGGGGGGGGGGGGGAAGAGGTGCGGTGGGTGGAAGAGCCTCTGCCCCCGCTCACCTCCTGCAAGATGTCCGTAGGTTTAGTTTTCGCCACAGGCTTCGTGCGCGATTTCGCAGGCTCTTCGTCAGAGTCGGAATCTACCAGCAGCCGCCGGTTCTGGGCCTGCTCCAGCATGGCTCTGCAGGGAGAGAGGCCACGCGCAGAGGGTTAGAGCGGGCTCCCTCGCACCGCCACGCTGAGCGACGCCGGCCGTGCACCGTGCCTGCGCTGTTTGCTGTAAGGGGAGCTGGAATTCAGCAGCAGTGCAATGGGATCCACCTTCTCGGGTGCTTTTTAAGAAGTCATGTTCAAGCAGTGCCCGAAGGTTGATAGCACCGAGATCTGCAGCCTCAGCCAGGTGCAGAAACTCTCTCTTCACTCGAGGACGCTTCTCAGGGGGAGTCAGGCCCCTGCAGCAGCCCAGATCTCCCCAACAGATGGGCCAGTGATACCAAAACCCCTCCACCTCCCTCAACACTTTGCCACGGCAAACTGCCCCCGATCTCCTCACAGCCCGCTCCGGGCTACATCCCACCCACACAACTCCTGTGAACTCAGGCCCCTCAGGCAGGGCCCTCTCTTTAAGCGCTCTCGGGGTGCTGAGGAAAGGGTAGGATGCAGCCCTGCCTGGCCAGGGCCAGCGTGGCCGATTTCACACGCCCGTGAATGCTTCCAGCCCACTCACTTCATCTCTTGCTCATCCTCCTCTTGCTCCTTGCGCTTCTGCTCCTCCTCGTACTCCTTGTACTGCTTCAGCATTGCCTCGAAGTCCACGTTTGCCTGGCGCTGGTTGAGTTCCTTCAGCTCCTGCAGGTTCTCCAGAACCTCCATCTCCAGCTTGGAGTCCTTGGTTCGGTTCTCCAGGACCTGGAAGACCAGAGGGAAGCCGGGCTCATGTGAGGTAGCAGAGCCTGCCAGCAATCTCCAACACCGCCTCCCCACCCAGTACGGGGCAGGAAGCACTAAGAGGATCATCATCATACTCATTTTTGGGTCTTAATAGGACAGGAAAAACTGGGGCAAGATGCAGCCCGTCACAAGTTCCAGCACAGGAGGAAACCTCCTGAGAGCAGGGAATTGTCTCCTGCCTGTCCAGAGCACAGCAATACCTCGGGAGCCTGAAGAACTAAACCAACGGCTACGAAGTCACCTGCTTTGCTGGGGGAAGCCAGCCAAGGCAGGAGAGAGGTTTGCCTTCTGCAGAGAAGGGCACATTCTCGTACCTTCATGGGGTTGTTGAGCTCTTCCTCTTCCCTCTCCTTCTGCATTCTTTTCTCCTCTTCCTCCAGGAGCTTCTCAGCTTGGAAATTGCGAGTGGCACCATGCTCCATAGTGTAGTCTGTGTTCTCAGGATCTGTCTAAGGAAGAAACAAGACAACAAAATCATTGTACTGGGGCAATTCTGCTCCAGCCATCCTGTGGCCACTTCCAGAGCCGCCTGCAAACGATTCCCCATTTCATTCACATCACAGGGCAGACGATCACCCATGGCCTTTTGTTCTGCTCCAGCCGATGTGCCGCAGCCCACGGATGGGCAAGACACTTCAGAACTACAAACGGCCATGAAAAGGGAAGATACACCAAACAGCACACGCTCAGACTCAGCCTTTGCTGGGACACCCCTTCCCCGTGGGGTCAGCACCCAGTCACGTCCACAGACTGCACAGCCTCCCCAGAAAGCGAGAGAGCGCGGAAAATACAGAACATGTTTCACCTTGAAAGTGATCTCTGCCAGGCACCGCGTGCACTTGATGTAGAAGCGGAAGATGGGAAGTCCCAGGTACACCTCATTCTGAACAGTCTCCTTACGGGCGTTAAACTTCTTCCCCTTATAGATGTATTCACCACACGTCTTGCATCTAGAAAAGGAGAAAGAAAAGTCCATAACACATCAAAAAAAGGGAGCAAACAGAACAAGAGAAGTCCAAGTGATTTTCGGGCTGCGTCAGCCCAGGTTCTGAGCAACGGTTATTTTCTCCTTTGGAAATTCAGTACCTACTCTTCAAAGAACCCCAAAATCACCCACAGCATCTCTTCCCTCTCCCTCATCCCGTTTCTTCTGGTCTGTGTCACCTCTAACGGCTGCTGGCAGCAGCTCCCCTGCAGCGTATCGAGGCGAAACAATTCCTAAGCAAACTCTTCTCTTCCACAGCTGCTTCCTTCTGAGCAGCGCAGCCCCTCTTACCGCATGTTGAAGGGGGCCATGAGCCGCACCACATACTGCCGGTCCTTGGGGAGTTTGAGCTTTGGGATCTTAGCAGGATCGAAGTCCGGCGGGTAGTATTTCTGCAAAGAGAGAGAGAGACGTGTGTGTGCCAGGCGCAGAGTCACCCCGAAGAGTGTGAACCGTGGCAGGCAGGATCCCAGCTGCCGTATCAGCCTAAGGCATCAGCTCCACACAGCAGGAGCCAGCGTGCTCCTGCTAACCAGGCGTGGTCTCAAGTGCCAAACACCCCGTCCACTCCTCCCCGCCAGAGCCAGGCATTGCTGTCTGTCTGTCTGTCTGTCCATCCCCGGCCCCCCAACCCTTGCATGATTTTAGGGCCTAACCCTCTATGCCCCTGCCAGCCCCTTCCAAGCGCTGCCAGGAGCCCCAGCCTGGGGATCCCCACCCCAAGCGCCCCCCTCCCAGCCCGAGGGTCCCCTCAGGGACCTCTCTCCGCCTCAGGAC